AAATATATATAACACTATATAAGAACATTTTATAGTTATGTAATTCTTGGAATTCAAGATTCTTTGTATTTACAGTTAGTGGAAGGTAGGGCTGCTCGATTATGGAAAAAATCATTATCATGATTATTTTGGTCAATACTGAAATCATGATTATTCAAACGATTCTTTTTTAGTTACATGTTGTAATTATTCAGCATTTCTCCCTCAAAAAACACTTTGTTATTGATAATCTACGCAAAACTTTCAAATATTACTAATAATATTATAATACAATATTTGAAATATAGGCAACAAATATGAACCTTAGAGCAGTTTTGCGATGTATAACACTTAACATGAATAAAAATATACAGTACTTTGAACATGAAATAAGGGATAGAAAAACATAAATGTATCCAAAATAAACTATATATCCAGCAGTTTTACAATCTCTATATTTAAAAAGCAAAATAAATATACTTATTTATATAAAAAATATCTCAAAATAAACTTTGATAAGCTTTAATTGCTTCAACTCGATTATATGAGTTTGGAGATCGTTTGACACACAAATCGAAATCGCGATCAAAATTAATTGTACAAACTTAGTGGAGGGTCCCACACTTGTTTGTCTCCACTGATGTAATTGCTTACTGGAATGCTCCACAGTATGGCATTAAAATAATCAATCTATCATTTGCATTTAACATGGACACAAGCGTATGGTAGGCCCTCCATCAGAATAAAATTTTGAATGTTATACTATGATTTTATCCTTGTGTGTTGTGTTTGAGGTAAATAGTCTCATTGTAAAATATATTTGCCTTAGAATAAAGGTGGTATTGATGTATTTTGTTGCAGCTCAGGAAACACAATCCCACAAAAAATGACTCTTGTCCTTTAAACTTTCTGGTCCGGCTCTGGTTCGGCTTATACAGTGTTACCATGGAAACCCTGATCTGCACTAATCTTAAACACTTCAACACAAGGGTGGCTCTGTATCCTACTGTTCAGGAAAATTAACTTTTTTAATATAAACGATTCTCTTTTATCAACTGACAACAAAAGGCAAGTGCTAAGCCTCTTATGGAGGTTATGGAGGTTAATAGGTCCTTGTGTTAACACTAATGGGATGTTGTGATTTATTTAAAAACTGCACTGGCCAATTATAATAATAGTGACTTAGTTTTTTGGGCTCTTCTTCTTAAAAAAATAAACTTATTAACACACTGGCTTAAATAGCACTACTGTTTTGACCTTGGTGACAGTACAGGTGCTGGTAGTAATTTGCTCTATAGGTTTTCCAAAGAATTAGCAGTGGCATACATCGGTTTAGTTCTACTTGGAAGAGTGACAGAACATTCACATCTTTTGCTACCTACTTGGACAAATGAAGCACAGACAACAGTTGACACGGTTAAAGGACCCATGCTACGCTATTTTCTGACCTGTTATAATGTTGTTTCTTCATCAAAAACATACCTGGAGTTGTGTTTTGTTTCATTCACACATAAAACATATGTATATTTAGGCTGACTCTCTGGCTGAACTAAAGGTAAAAGGTAGTTGTTAACTTGAAAACTACCTCTTCATGATATCACAAGGTGGAATAGAGCATTCTGAGCTTTGGAGATGTGGTCAGGATTACTCAAAAATACAGGAATGAAACAAAACTCAACTGTGGGTAAGTTTTTGAGGAGGTAACAACATTCTAACATGTCTTAAAAATCACAAGATGTCAAGTTTGTGTCATATAGGACCTTTAATATTAATAGCAGAAACGGAAGTAGCTAGTACTTGTTTTGTGGTTAGCATTACCTTTGCTTTGTAATAATGTTGCTGACTTATACTTTATTCTTGTTTAAATTAACAATCTTATAATCAGTTCCAGCTATCAAAGTTAACCATGAACACACTAATACCTGGTGAACACCCACTAAGACACAGGGAGAACATGCACACTCCACACAAAAATTGTATGAAAATGTTAGTGTAGTAAGTGCAGGTTGATGAATGGATAGCTAAAAATAGTCTAGACTATACCTAGTCTAGTGTAGCTCTGAAAGGCCCTTATAACCTCAGGACACAGCTACATTACATGTGTATCAATGGCACTTTCTCCTCAGTAAATCTTGAATTTCAGTGTGGCCAGACCTCTCAGTGGGTGCATTGTTTCCTGTTTGGTGAATACGCACAGATCAGTGAGTTATTCAGGGAAAATAGGCCATGTTATTCTGATATCCTGCCCCTTGGAGACACTGAGACATTCCTACAGCGTTAGAGCTAAAGTAAAGAGGGAGAAGCTGAATGGAGAAGGTCAATGAAGAAGAATGACCCAATGGCCGGCCCTTGAGGATGGAAAACGCTCTCACTGATCTGTATCTGCTAGGTCTATTTCAGGAAATCTTAAAGATGCACTGTGTAACTTTTCTGGAGAGGATCAGCAACCTGTTTGTCTGCATAGTGAAATTAATGCTTTTGATTTAAATTGTCCACAGTATGGCATTAAACTAATCTGCCTTGCATTTATTCATCTACAGGTGTTATTTATTGCTCAAAAATATCTTTAAAAACATTTGTTCTTACTGTCAGTGGGGTCACCTCTCCACAAATCTAACCTGTAATTTGGCTTGCAATCTCCATGGAACATTCAAGGCACATCTCCATGGATACAAGCAGGTGATAGACTCTCCATCGGACAAGTTACACAGTGAATCTTGAACGTACCCAATTTTTAAACCCTGAAAGGAGGAATCTATCTAACTAGATCCATGCAGTAAATCAAGCCAGAGAAAAAAATCTAACAAAAATCTTCTGATGCTAAATTAGAGCAAAAACAGAATGAATCTTGAGGTAAACAGGGCAAACCTAGGATAGGGACTGACTGCTCTTCCAGCAATAATGTGATTAAACATTTTTACAAGTAAGCTCAGCCTGTAACAAGCTTAAAGTGGACTATATTTCTACATACATTTGTGAAAATATTGAACTTTATGTCACTGCCAATATAACCATAAAGCAAGATAATCATAGAAGAATAAACTGATTAATGAATCCAAACTAAATTTTGGTCTGAAAAAAGAACAGAAATAGAAGCAAGATTTAGAACATTTAGAATGAAAAATTTTAGCACTTGGTTAGTATCTAGATTCATTCAGTCATAGAAGTCACTTTTTTGACCTTCAACTGCTCAAATCATATGGTACTACTTTTATTACACTAAAATGCCCACTAGTGCAAAGAAAATGAATACAAAAATATTGAAAGATAAGTCAATATAGTAATTATTGTCAGGACTATGGCAATATTTGTTCAAAACAGTTCTCAAATGTAAGCTGGAGTCGTGACTGGCAGCAGTATTTGACCCCAGTGACACAGGAAACACCGAGGAAAGTGTCTCATTTCCACTGTAGGATGAGTCAGCTGGACTTACTGTATTCCCTTTTGTCTCAGGACCAAGTTTAGACAGGAGAGCTATATGAGTCACCACACAAAGCCCAGTACATTATTAAGAAATCTGGCAAAAATTCAAAAAGATAAAACATAATTAAGAGCATTTCTGACAAGGCTGCAGTGGCACGCCAACCCAGAATACTTCACAGTTATAGCATCTATAACAACTAAATCTGCTCTGGCAATATGACAAAAAGTTAGCATAATGAAGTTTCTTGTGTTGATCGATCGCACATTTTGATTCAGTTGTAATTTTCATCCTTATTAAAAGCAAATTAAAATGGCTTCAGTATTAATGTGATGCATATAAACAATACAGACTTTAAAGAGAGGGTATTCACTGTTAATACATAACATATTTAGATTAGCAAGTTACCTTTTCTTGTTTTGAAAATGCTGTATTTGTCAAAAACAACTTATTAACATGTTTCATAAGTTTGATGAGGGAATAACGTTGTAACACAGTAGAAAGCTCCAAAAAGTAAATTTAACTTAATTCTCTCTCTTTAAATAATGGGCACTTAACTTGTGCCAGTGGACTTTACCTATCTAATAATACAAGCAGCTCACTGATGATTAGAAATGACTAAATCTCAATTAAAATACGGCAAAAGTGTATTGCTCTAGCTCCTACAAAAATGTAACATATCATATCATGTATCTATATTTCTGTTTGCAACTCTTCAACAATAATACTAATACTAAACAACAAAATGAGGTGCTTTAGGTATATGTATCTATTCAGTCCAGGGATGTCAAACTCAAATTCACAGAGGGACAAAATTAAAAACTGGGCCAAATTAAATATTTATTGAAAAATTTCAACAACATCTCCATGTTTTTTCTTGTAATGTAATGTTAAACCTTTTCTGGTTAAAACAAATGTTTAATAATAGTTTTGCTTAAACACTGAATCCAGAACAAGCATAATATAATATAATAACTAAATTTTAAATAAATAATGTCTCTATAGTCTACCTGTATCCAGCGAGCCAGCTCTAATACATATTTGATTTGATCTATAATTATATCGCGGGCCAAATTTGGCTCCTGGGCCTGAGTTTGACTTGTCTGATTTAGTCACATGGCAGGTTGCAAAAGGAAGGGCATCCAACCTGTCTATTGAACCACACAACAGATCCCTTAATCTGCAAAACAGTGAAATATTCAATATCAAATATTGTTTAGTTTCATTTGGATGTATATGACAGACTCCAAATATGTTTTTCTTTTTAGCAGATACATCAATACATTACACAGTATTGTACAAGTCCTTATGGCATAAATACCTGAGCAGCCAATGGTAACAATTATAATTATTGTTCTTGATGAAGTCAGGATAAGTTCTCATAAGCAATAGAAAGTGGATGAACAGTTAGATAACAAGTTGGAAATCTGTAAATAAATATTAGATTATATTATTTTAGTTTCAATTAAAAAGAAAATACAGGTAGTTCTTGTTCAAGTCATAAACAAGCAGACCCATTCATTCATAAATGGCCAATCAAAATACATGTTTGATAATAATTGATAGTGTAATTCACAGTATGTTGGTTCGTGAGTCTCACCTCTAAGTTTGAAGAGCTCTCCATTCACAGAGCTCACTATAAACATGTACGGGGCCTCATCGCTTGGGGTTACGGACGCACCAATCAGAGGCAGCGATCCACGCGGCTTCTGGCTCTTTCCTTGTTCATTCACAAAGTACAGCAGCTGTCCCAGATCAGGGTCCAAAACAAAGTACCTGCAACAGAGGAGACAGAGACAATAGAGAAGTTAGGAGGAGAAGACAGAAGTTTGGATGAAGTCACATGTAAAGAAAAACTGAATGGACTGTTGATCTACTTGCTAAGACAAAGTTGTAATTAATGACTGTACTAAATATGTAACCTCTTTAATTTTAATAGGTGTGTAATAGAAAAAGAAGTTTAATAGCTGTAATAAATTACTTTTAACTGTAATGAGGCTGAACCAGCTGCTCACACTTTATCCAATAAGAACAAAAAACCAACAAGAACAAAAAATGGCTTTCTGACCAGATCTAATGCAGATCTATAGCAGGACTTTACTCAAACTGATTTAGGTTTGAAATTGGGTTTAAAAGCAAGTTTCTAAATGCTTTAAATGAAGGGATTATAAACAAAGACTAACCAGACATAAGACAAAGTTTCTACTAAAATAAATACCAGAACCAGACAAAATAAAATAATTGTTTAAATTTTGTGTAGTAAATGTCCTTTTTAGGCCTGTCACAATAAGAAGAATGATTATTGCTGAAAAATTATAGACAATAAATGATTATACTGAAAACATATTATGCCACTGACACAGTAATACTAAAGTAGGGTTATCTCTCAAATAATATTCTAAATGTACAACATGGTTCAAATTGCAATAATTGCTTGCAATACATAAACAAATCTTAATGAAACACTTAGTAATTAGTGTGTATCTATAATGAGTTATGAATATTTATTCAATTCTCTACAGCGCAAATCTAACTGCAGTACAGAAGAAAAAGTTCCACACTAGTGCAAAGAAAAAAGATCCCCTAATAAATATTGACCCCCAAGAATTATTGTTCAGTTTAACATATATTGAACAATAACTCAATATAGAAATCATCATGACAGAGATACTTGTTTTGTTATCAGTACTGAGATCTTTTTTGACAAGTGAGTCATGTATTGTATCCTCTGATTAGACTAATAATGCACACATTTAAATAGATAGACATTTAAGTATAACTTGGAAATACACTAACTTGGCAACCGACTCCACCTCAGTCATAATAATAACCGCATTTTGGCCACAGATTCCCATTCTAACTGTTGTGAACATTACTAAACCCGCTTCAGTTTCCACATGAGCTCCTCTGAGACTCAGCTAAACGACTTTGTGATTACAGCGACCATCTTGAGCAGAAACCAGAGCTCAAGGCGTGGAAATTAAACCCAGCGTTTTTTCCCTTTGTGACTAATGAATCACACTCAGTCACAGATAAGTGAATCTGAGCCTCTGAGCTGCTGCTGCCTCTGCACATGTACATAGTCTGGGGGTATTTTCACAGTATGGCTGCATATGTGGGAACGACACGAGAACTCAATTTAGACATAATTTAAAGGTGCATTGTGTAACATTTCTGGTGGAGGATCCGTCAAATGCTTTTCTTCTTAAAGATAATTTGGCTTTGTCTGGAATGTTTCACAGTATGGCATTAAACCTTTCTATCTTCATGACGGCGAAACCAGACCAAGTTACAGGTCAGATCTGTGGAGAGACAACCCAGTCACAGCCAGAATGCCTGTTTTTCTAGGTATTTTTGAGGTGTATAACCACCTCTAATTTAATAAATGTAAGGTAGATCTGTTTAATGTCATAATGTGGAACATTCCAAGCCGTATCACATTTATGTTTTGATTATCACTTTCACAAACTAGGAACATACATACAATAATATTATTAAATGAATAATAATAGTAAACATAAACTAATGATAATGATCAGGTAGATTAAAACAGACTGTATATACAAAATATACAGTATGGGCAGAACAACAGTGCAATTATGATTCAAAGTAGACTCAAATTTTTCATCAGTGGTGAATGATGAAACAAAACAACTCATTAACTGAAGTAAAATGCAATTAAAAAAAAATAAAAATTATATATTAGGATGAAAATGGTTCAAAATCACAAAAAACATCCATGCTGTGAATTGATAAATATAAATACTGTTTATATTATAACTTAACTTTCACAACTTTCTTTTTCAGTATTATTGCAGTGCACTATATTGGCTGCAGATTTCACAAGATTGTTCTCTACAAGACTGAGAAATCTCGTGTGTCATCTCACTCTTATTTATAAGTTCGGCCTCTGCCAAAGGAAAGCCATAGCACTTTGGAGGCTGTACAAAACACCGTGCGTCATATATTGTCTCAGCTTTATAGGTATTGAACTGCAATGAACAGTTCTGCCAACTAACTTACTGTGGCAGGTGTGATAAGGCCAGGAGATATGACTATAACATTTTCTCATATTGATCAACGACAGTATTAGATTATATTTTACATTGGTGAGAAGAAAATATAGACATTTATACTACAAAAACTATTCTAAATGTACAATACTGAAAAAAAAAAATGAAAAAAAAGACCATACAATATTCATCATGTACTGAATAAGTCGATATAGTAATTATCATGACAGGTCTATAATTTGTCTTATTGAAAACAAATACAAATGCCTTTATATATACATTTTCTTGGTCATAAATAACACAGACTTTTAATCATTGGCACCAAAATATAGTCAAATTTCTTCTTCAAATGTTTCTGAACTCTGCTCCAAACCACATGCTACTGACAGAGGATTAGGCATGGACCTCTCATCTTAAATAAAGGTGGATTGCGCAACATTTCTGGTGGAGGGTCCATCACCTACTTGTCTCCATGGAGATGTTATTGCTTTGCCTGGAAGGTTCCACAGTAGTGACATTAAATATATCTATCTAACATGTATTCATTACACGTGTTTCTATTGCTCAAAAATTCAATAATACTCTCTCTCCACAGATCTGACCTGTAATGCCGATAGTCGTCTAAATTGAGATAGAAAGGTGTAATCTCTACTTTGGAACATTCTAGACAAAACAATAACACCACAACACCATGAAGACAAGCAGGGGGCCCTCCACCAGAAAAGTTGGGCAATGCACCTTTAGAACAGTCATATCAACAGGCCTGTCACAATAAATACTCTATCGTCTTATCGTTCAATGCATGGTAACTAGAACTATATTTTTTAAGGTCAGTCTTTATTGCGAGCATATTTTCTTTGCAGTAGTGGGAAATTTGGGGGGTATTTTTTGGATATATGATAAGATTTGAGCTGTAAAAGGTTGAATTAATAACTTCTATGGCTCATTACAGATGCAAACTAAGTACTTAAATTTTATTCTGCTATTTATTTATTACAGCTTGTGTTTTTTTTTTAACAGTACTGTAGATTTAGAAAAGTTTTTATGTTTCAAATCTGCTCTTGGGTCATCATGACAAGGGTATAAATTTCAGTATTATAGTTTGTCATCTATATTTGCTTCACCAATATATCACACTTCAAAATTTGTTATTGTGACAGGCCTACATATCATTGTATCTCAGAAATTGATCAATTGCACACATTGTATTACTAAAACAAATATGAACATTTTGTAAGATCTTAGAGCAGGAGATCTTGTCCAGTACAGCCTGACATTAAGACCAGCCTGTTCGCTCCACTTAGCAATGCCTTCAGGCGACCACATGACCTTTCTTTGTTTGTGAAATTCCCTTTCTTTTTCTCCTTCGATAATCAATCCCTCCTTTTCTACTCATCACGATCACAATCAACCCCACACTAAACCTGAAGAAGAGGTACAGTCAGAAATCTGTCCTGTAGCTGTGTCCTTTTGTCATCTCTGCTCTGAGTGAAGGATAAGAGAAAAGGAAAGAAAAAAAGAGAGTGTGTCCTCTATCACAGCAGGGGCGATGGTGGGCTAACGTCATTCAAGATCTGTATAGCCCAGGTATTTCAGATGTCCAACTGGGAATACACTCGACGTCTTATACACTGGCTTCATATCTGAATTTATATGATTTTAAAGTTTGTTTATATAACACTTTTTTAATGATTGTTTTTCCATTCTCAATTGCCCACTCAGTTGTATAGCGTGATTCATGCATGTTTGAGTAATCTTTATTCTCTGGTATCAAGATGTCTTCGCTCAAAAATTCCCCTTTCTACTCATGCATTCTTAATTGGTGACGCATCATTGCACACGCTTAAAAAATATCGGGAATGCAGCCGCCTCAACAGGTTTAAAAATGTATCAGATCAGAGTTTAAAAAACCTTGCAGAAGATTTTTGTTTTATATTTATCTCATTTGATCTTGATTTTTAAAGAGGAGGAGCATGTAATAATATTGTTCCTTCATCAAATACACAACAGAACAAATACACAACTGAAGAGGTTTTAGGTGTCATCCATGCCTGTTTGAGTATTTTAGCCATCACTCCCAGGCCCTATTCAAACCCTCCTTACGGTTAGCTGTATGATTCTGTCCAATGCTCAGTTCATCAGTCTACTTCATCCTCGCTCTCACATGACAATTCTCCATAAATATTCAAAAACATGATACAAAACTGTACACAGCAATGTCACAAACCTGATATATGTGTTATGTGTAAAATACCCCAGTCCTGTAATATTGCGTGTAATGAACATTTATGACAAGTCAGAAAAGTTAGCAGTACAAAAAAGTATCTGGTTGTACATTATCACCAGAATAAGATGTGGTCTCACAGACAAGAGAACTACCAGACCTAAGTCCCTGTTCACGAGCTGAGGTGACAGTTACTTATTGTTTGGGGGCCTGGTGACTCCCACAGTAACACGACATTATGTTATAACATGACAAGACAGCAACAGAAATTCTTACGGGCTTTGAATGAGAAGGAGATAATAAAAATACTCACACTGGTACTTAAACTACAGGGAGAATGTGAGTTTCAATATAACACATAAATATGACAGAATAGTTTTTACCAATATGCAAAGGGTGGTGTAATGTTGTGTTTGTAAGTGAATTTTCCCATGAACCCCCGGAGAGAGGAGGCAGAGTTGTGTCACTCCATCAAACGAAGATGAGTCTCTCTCTCTCTCTCTCTCACCCTCTTTTTCTCTTTCTTCTCTCTCCCCTTC